GATAAGGCTTTAAACGACAATAACCGATACACTGCAGAATCACATTCAAATGCAGTTAGTACTAAAGTGATTGAGTCCAAAGAATTCCTCTACATTTGAGCCCTAAGTCCCAGGGGTTCAGCACAACTCACAACATTGCCCACAGAAGGCAACACAGATCATCTGAGGCTGAATTAAAGAGAAACCAAAATCAAAAGCGGCAGATCTCAGAGGCTTGGGGTCCAGTGATAAGCTATGAGTGGGAAATGGAATTCAATAAGACTGAACTATATAGCTAGCTTGGTTGAACACTTAAATCAGTCTTTCTCCCCTATTCATACAAACCCTTGCCAGTAACTGGGGCTGGAGAGATGGCTCAGTGGTTATAAGCACTGGCTACCAGAAGACCTGGGTTTTGTTCCCAGGACCAACATGGTGGCTCATAACCATCTGTAACTCCAGTTTCAGAGGATAAGATGCCCACTTCTGGCCTCCGAAGGTACCAAGCACACTGTGGCCCACAGATAGATACATTCGGACAAAAAACCCATACACATAAAAATAAATAAATCTAAACACACACACACACACACACACACACACACACACACACACACACACACACCCTCTTGTCAGTAACCGTGTTCTGGGTGATTTTTGTCTGTCTATGCTGTTCTTCAGACAGGGCTTCATTTCACTCTGCAGGCCAAGCCAGCCTCAAACTCCGGTGGGAGTTATTAATTGTATTTAAATGTTTCTTATTAAGACTGGTAACATTCAGCTAACTATTCTCCTTTAGTTACAAAAACAGTTAAGTGAGATAGGTCAGCTAAAAGCATGTTGGTATCCCACTTCTGAGGTACCAGCACTGGAGAGGCTCAGGCATAAGGATCAAGAGTTCAAGGCCAGCGGACTGTCTTGAAGAAAGGAAAGCAGGAAAAAAGCAGGGAGGGAAGGAAGATGAGGAATGAGCTATTACAACTAAGAAAGTAAAAAGCGCTGCTGGTGGTGGCGGTGGTGGCGCACGCCTTTAATCCCAGCACTCGGGAGGCAGAGGCAGGTGGATCTCTGTGAGTTCAAGGCCAGCCTGGTCTACAAAGCAAGTTCCAGGAAAGGCGCAAAGCTACACAGAGAAACCCTGTCTCGAAAAAAAAAAAACAAAAAAAAAAAAAAAAAAAAGAAAGAAAGTAAAAAGCACAGATTTCTCACTGGTCAAAAGTCAAGAAAGTCATCTTTTCATTCCATGGAGTTTTGTTTTTACCATGGCTCATTAAAATACAATTAATGATGAATGGCTATTAATACTTTTTAAAAAGCCTTATTTTTGTTATATTTACTGAAATAATCTTGTCCTATATAGTGTATTAAATTGTTGGTTTCTTAGAAGAACTTATCATCTTTAGCTACAAGTTTTGTTACATGTTTACATGCCGATTATAAACTATGCATCACCATGCCTACAACACAGTAAGCAACCCATAAAATATAGCCATTAAACTCATTCCTCTACAAGTCCAATGACGAAATGAACCGTTCTCTGCACGCTATCTCAAGAACCTAGCCACTGCTTGGAGGCATGCAATAAATACCAATGGATAAAGGGCTAAAGATGATCCAGAAGAAATTCTCAATTCTCACTCCCCAATGTATGGTGCCCAAGGGTGCCCAGCAAGGGGCTGGAAAGACCCTTCCCCGAGGGAAGGCGCTGAAGTTCCTGTTTGTATTTCCTTAAATTCACCACAGAGATTTTCCCCTATGTCCCAAACCACAAAATCAATGCTTTGCAACAATGTGGTGTTAAACAATTTTGCTTCATTTCCCTCTACAGACAACGAACAAAGTTCCTTAAAACTTGAAGACTTAGTTTAGTTCCCTTTACTCTTTTTAAAAGAAAGGTATCCGTATAACCATATCAACTCTCAAATTTCTAGTCTGATTCTCATTGATCTGGGATTCACAACTGGTTACTACACAGGTTGCTACTTGACTTTTTGTTTTGTGTTGTTGCTGTTCACTGCATAGTGCAAATGAAAATAAAAACAGGCTTGAACTTTAAAAAAAGATAAAGCTACACATCAAAGTGTGCCATGACCCATTCAGAGATACCTTTTTGAAGAGACCTCAGGTTCAGCTCAATAAGCCATACAAAAATGCTGTGACAGTATAGGCCTTAACCCTCACCGATGTAAGACAGTGTTATCAACTGGACTGCCTTCTCTCTCAAGGCTTCAGTCTAAACCCCCTCAATTACTTGGATTCAAATGGACTTCATTATTTTCTAACATCAAATCGTCTCAGAGGATGAGGGTGGAGGAAAGGGAACACAAGGCCCAAAGTAGACTAAAAAAGAAATTCAAGAAGCCAGGCGTGGTGGCGCACACCTCTAATCTCAGCACTTGGGAGGTAGGGCCAGGCGGATGTCTTTGAGTTCAAGGCCAGCCTGGGCTACAGAATGAGTTTCAGGACAGCCAAGGATCGAAAGACAAAAAAGAAAAGAAAAGAAATTCAAAAGGTGTTTTCAGTGGCACCTAAAAAGATGCTAGCTGAAAACACAACTTTGGGCCTGGAGAAATGGCTCAGTGGTCAGTGCTCCTGTAGAGGACCCAGGTTCAATTCTTAGCACCCACAGGGCAGCTCATAACTGTCTGTAACTCCAGTTCCAGGGGCTCCATGGCACCAGGCATTCATGTAGTACACACACATACGCATGCAAGCAAAATACCATACACATAAAGTAAAATGAATCTTTAAAAAAAAAAAAGAAAGAAAAAGAAAATACAACTTCAAATAACTTGAGAGGTATTTGCTCAGCCATCATGCACAATTTTAGTTATCTTTTCCTCCATGCATAGGTTATAGGCTACATCTTAAATCTCTGGTAGAAACCCTGCCTCTCTGAAAAGACATGCAAAGAACTGAATAGTGGTTGTCACTGAAGGAAGAGAAAACATGGCTGGGGAACAGAAACAGGCGGCTTTTTGCTATATACCTTTTTAAATTTTATACATAATGAATTGCTTTGTGTTGTTTGTGTGTTGCTGGGGATGGAATGCAGAGCCTCCCATATGCAGGGCCAGGGCTGTACCATGACTTACATCACTGGACCAGCATCACCTACTTTTTAGAAGCTGTGTGGTAAGTCCTTTCAAACTGTGAGGTTGTGCTCAATTCTACTGCATAGAAAAGAACAGCACTAGAGGAAGTGGCATTGGTGTTAACAGCTTCACTTGTGAGCTTGTGAACTGCAAACCTGGCTCTTCTGCCAGGGCAGCAGTGTCCATAGAAACCTTGCAAGCTCACCCACCCAGATGCCTTACAGTGGAGCTATTCTGTTGCATCACTCCCTGAGTATTCAAATGGAAACAAAAGCCTGACACTGTAACCATCAGGAATGAAAAATGGAGGCATGTTAATGAGCTATTAAATATTAGAGAAATGATGACTATAACAAACCAATCACAAATACCCATGAGAGAGGTATATTACTGCCCTTTCCTTGAAAATGTAATCTGCCATACTGTAAACATGGGAGCAAGATGTCAAGGCTGGTACCATCTGCAACATAACTTAAGCAGCTTGCACCAGCAAATGTAACATGATCTGTTGCAGGACACGATTGCACAATCTCAATTACCCAGAAGATTCTACCAAACAGGAAATTCATGGTGTGACTTTAAGTAACACAGGACTCATACTTAAAGATTAACACATCCAGAAGCCTGGAATTTGTTCCGAAACAAAACAAACCATTTCAGAGACTCTTTCGAAAGCACGAATGCATATAAATTACTAAAACATAGAAAGAGCTAATCTGTTGAACCTGATGTTTACCTTCAGCTCCGGAGCTCTAAGATGATACTAAGTCCAAAATCTACTCTATGAATCCTTGAACGTTCCTAAAACACTTCTGGAGTGGAAATTTTATGGTATGGATTTAATTAGAAACCCACTCCTAGGGCCTTGCAGGGTGGGGAAAGCCTTTATTCTCAGCGATGGCAGACGAGATCTCTGTGAGTTCCAGGCCAGGAGCGTGAGGTTCAGGCCAGCCAGAGATATCCATAGTCTCAAACGAACAACAACAACAAAACAAAACAAAAAAAAAAAAAATCAAAAACCACGGTGTGAATGAAAGCTGAAAAACATCGTTTCCTCTACTATGTGTGTCCCAGGTTCTCACAAAAAACACCATGTACCTCGGTCCTTAAAAGCTGATAAATCTCCCCTGCAAATCTTCGAAGGGACTTAAAAAAGAAAAGCATCCCCAGGAATCATTTCAATTAAAAACCATCTACGCCTTCGAGCACTAGTCCTACCTTTTTGATCTTGAGAGAGCCCAATGGGTCAGAACCCCTCTGGCTCCGCATGGAGACTGTTTTGTTCATCAATACTGAAATGAGCAGTGGTATTTAACTAAGCGGCGAGCTGTAGCGTCCTTGCAGGCGCGGCCACCCTCCCTCCCCGAAAAGGAAATACGCTTTCAACCGAATCGGAAACACACCACGCAAGCTGGCACCGCACTCCCCGAAAGAAAAAAAAAAAAAAATTCCGGGAAAGGAGCGCTTTTTCTTGCAACTTTCGTTCAGGTGACCGCAGTCCTAGGGTCAGGCTCTGCCCTACTGCTCCTCGCAGAAGCTCCGCCCGGCTGGCTCGTCTGCACTCCAGGGCAGGGCTCCTGCGTCCAAAGTGGCCGCACCCGGGGACAGGGTCCTCAGGCTGCACGGCTGCAGAGGGGCCCCGGGAGGAACAATCCTCTAAGCAGAGAAGAGTGCAGAGTGGAACACCATCGCACGGCGCCCACGGCTCACCCGCCCACGGTTCACCGCGAACCTGCGTGTGCAGGGTGAGGGGTGCAGGACACGCGCCGCTCCTACTGCCCCCTGCACCCCCACACACGCCCGGAGGAGGATTCCTGCCGCTGGGCGCATCGCTGAGCTGTGGGGACACAGGCCTGGCCCTCAGGCATGCAGGGCCACCCTGCTTGCTCCACCGCGTCCCCCGACCCGAGGCCCGGCGACACTCACCACACCGAGCCATAGGCGCCCGAGCCCACGGGGGACAGGTTCTGGTACCGCTCGGGCACCTCCCAGATGGTCTTGTTCAGCTCCTGCCGGTAGAACGTGGGCCTGTCCTGAGACATCTTCCAGCGGCGGCCGCGGGGCGAGGAGGTGGCCGAGCGGGGGGCCCCTGCCTGCAGCCGCACGCTCTCCTCTGCGCCCGCCCGCTCGCTCGCTCGCTCGGTCGCTCGCCCGCCCGCGGCTTGGCCGGACCCTGCGCCCGCCGCCCGCGCAGGTGTGGAGGCTGCGACCCCCGGCGCGGGGCCCCTGTCAGCCGCGGCGGCTCCTCCGAGCCTCGGCAACGCGCGGGAGCCGGCTGTGCGGCTCGAGGCTGCTCCCGCCGCCGTCCCCGCTGCAGCGGCTCCCCGGGCCGCCGCCGCCGCCGCCGCCGCACGACCGCCCGCTCGCGCTCCAGCGCCCGCTCGGGCTCCTGGGGCCGCCGAGCCTCCTCCAGGCAACGACCGGGAACCTCTCGCAGAACTCTCGCGAGAACAGCTCCCGAAGGCGACGCTCCGGCGAGCCGAGATCTTACCCAATATGGAACCTGCCCGTGGGAGGGGGGGGGCATGGGCGAGAGGAGCGCGCAGAAAGCGGGGTGGGGAGGGGTGGGGGGGGGCGAGGCAGCTCTCGCGAGAAGAGAGACCGAGTTGGGGCGCCCAGGCAGGAACGCTCGGGGACTGGTCTCTTCCAGGGCGCGGAGGAGGAGTCGCCGCCGCCGCGCGGGCCGCGCGCGCCTCTTTGTGGTCGGCTGGGCGAATGCCCGGCGCCATGGCGGCCGGCCGCCGTGACAGCGTCGGTGCCAAGAGCCAGGAGGTCTTTGGACTCGGGGCCACCTGCTCAGTGGAGCCCGCGGTTTCCAAGAAACGCTTGCGAGAACAGACAGGCCCCGTCCAGAAAGCTCTTGCATTCCTAGCTGCTCCGGGACACGGGGCGATCTGGCGGGGACGCTGACGAAATCGGCCCCGGCAGGCAAATATTAGCTCTGCCCCCGAGCTTTCCCTCCAGACTCTGCGCCTAGGAGCGCTTCAGTGTTCTCAAGCTGAGGGACCCCCACCCCAGCCCCCGGGAAGTTTCAGAAGGAAGTTCCGGGGACCCGCAGCGGGTCGGTCTAATGGACAAGGTCAGAAGTAGTTCGTCAAGAATGGGCACTGTCAGGCTGGGGACCTGCCGAGCGTTTGCAAGGGCCTGGTTCAATTCCCCGCGCTGGAAGGGAGAGGGGAATATGTACACACACACACACACACACACACACACACACACACACACACACACGTCACACCTGCATTTTATGTATATATACATATATATGCATATATATTCCATTTCAGGAAGGTCTCTTCTTCCGCATACATATGAATATAATATAGTGTGTATGTATGTACGTATATATACATATATACACACACACACACACACATACACATTATGCAGCCTGTAATCCCAGCACTTGGAAGGATCAGGAGTTCAAGACCAGCCTCTGCTATGTAGTGAGTAGTTAGACGCCAACCTGGGCTATTATGAGACCGTATCTCAAACACCCCAAAAACCATTACTGGGGTTTGAGACTGACTCCTGCCCTTTAGAGCCATCCAAAAAATGTAGAAATTTAAAGGAAACTTTGGAGAATCTTAAGAATCTAAACGTAGAGAAATTTAAAGACTTAATGCCTCGGGGAGTATGGAGAACAGGCGACGAGTTCTGACAGCCTCGCTTTTAGACAAGTCCGTGGACCTTCGGCCCTGGCTCCTGTTTTCTGCAAGAGAAATCCTGCCCTACGTTCCCACCTAGTGGAATCTTCTGTAAAAAACTAGTAAGGAATGTGAATGGGGAAAGTTCAGCCCCACACCTCCCTCCCTCCACCCCGCCACGACCAAGCGCATTACCCTACGTTTGTTGCACTGAGCAGGAGAAAAGGGACCTCTTAGTCTCTAGTTCTTCTCTTTCTACAAGACCCAGAGGGTGCCCGCGGCCCAGGTGTGTGGAGGGCAGCCAGGTACCCTTCTCCTCGCCCCAGATGTCACCCGCACAGCCGGAACGCCGGCGGGTTCTGCAGCAACGGCTCGGGAACTGCCGGCCTCCGCGTCCGCAGCGCCGCCGCCAGCCAGGCTGGAGCCGAGTCTGACCCCAGCGTCTGCGCTCCTGCCGGCCACCGGGAACCAGGTGAGCCTCGGTCGGGAGCCGACGGGAGCACTGGCTGCAGCCCGGGAGCCGAGAAGCCGCCGTGCGTCCCAGGGCGGGGCTGCTTGGGTCACCTGCAGGGCCAGGAGGGTCCCAGATGCTCTTTCAATTCTTTGCACAACGAGTGGGTGAATGAATGAATGAATGAATGAATGAATGGCGGTGGTCCCTGGAACTTCTCTCTCAAAGTGGGTTCTGCAGGCTGGAGCCTTTCAAAATTCTCTCCTCTGTGTTGTCAAAAGCTGAGAGAACTGGTCTGTGGACTTCACCACACTTCCGCCCCATCTGTATCCTCCTCAGGCCTCCTTAGCCTCTCAAACCTCACTGCTTTTGTGCATTTTGTTCTCTCTGACTGAGCCCTGCCTCTCCACCCCCTCTCCCCTTGCCTGTCTTCCAGTCAAACCCCTATTTATGGATTATGCACTGAAGCCTTCTCCGTTCAGTCCCGTGATGAGTGTCTCTCCAACACACCCCCTGGGTATCACGCTGTGTGGCACTAAAGGAAGGTGTCCCGTGTTGTGTTTCTGTGACCCGTGGTCAGCGGCTGTCACCTTCAATCATCGCCTGCCGCGAGTATTTGCTAATACTGTGCCGTGTCCCTGTACACTCTCCATCAAAACGGAGGGAGTCACAGGCGGTGGGTGGTTTGGGTTGGGAATTAATTACACGTGCTTATTTTTAAAACTTGGAAGTGAATTTTGCCTAATGGTTATAGGAAGCATATGAAAGATGACTCTATCAGGTGAAAGATATTCTTGCACCTTAATTTTCAGGGTTTCATGTCTTGTTGGGTCAAAATTTATATATCAGGTTACATTTTTTTTTTTGCATTTAAATATTCCAATTTGAATCAGTCAGTGAGTGGGTGGATGGATGGATGATGGATGGGTGGATGGACAGATGGATGGATAAGGGCAGTGGAAGTTGTGAAAGAGCTGGGTTAAAGTGCTTGTATTTTAATAGTGTTCCAAATTTAGCGGTGAGAGTCTGATTAAAGATAAGTAGAGGTTGGGGCTATGGCTCAGGGTGGAGCAGCCTAGCGTGTGAGGCCCTCAGGTACATTTCCAGCACAGAAAGGAAAAAAAGGAATTGAGGCGTGAATGGTGGCATTTGATAGATGGGGCAGGAGGATTGGGAGTTCAAGGCCAGCTAGGCTGCATGAGACCCTGTCTTAAGAACTGAAATTAAAAAAACCAAGACCAGAAAGATCACTAGCTTAGATTATAGCACCCTTACATGCTCCTCTATATCAGAGTCACACTGCTGCCCTCCTCCTCTCTAAAACAAGGTCTCACTATGGCTGGCCTGGAACTCCCAGAGATCTGCCTGCCTCTGTCTCTCAAGTGCCAGTGCTGGCATTAAAGGTGTGCGTCACTAAACTCGGCTCACCAGCTCCTTAAAGCACACTTTTGTGCTGCCCCAGAACTTGTGATTCAGGAGGTCTTGCTCAGTGTGGCCTACATGTCAGTAGGAAGTTCTGCACATCCCAGCATGGCGGAAAGGGTCCTGCTGGTGTGTGAGATGCTGCTGGGGTTTTTATGAAAGCGAAAAGAATTGGAGGACTCGGGGAGATGGTTCCATCAGTAAATTACCTGCTGAGAAAGTGTGAGGACCTGAGTGCAGACACCAGAGCTGGGATGGGGAAGGAGCAGGGAGCTTATGACCAGCCTGTCTGGCTGAATCAGTGAACTCTTGTTCAGTAAGAGACCCTGTCTCAAAAATATGATGGAGGGGGCTGGAGACCGGGCTCAGTGGTTAAGAGGCTCTTGCAGAGGACCTGGGTTCAATTCCCAGAATCCATATGTTGGCTCACAACTATCTGTAGCTCCAGTTCCAGGGGATCTGACACTCTCTTCTGGCCTCTGAGGACACCAGGCACACACAATGCACATTTATACACGTAAAAGTAAAATAAAAATAGAATAAATAAATCTTTACCAAAAAAAAAGTTGGAGAGCATAGACCCCTGGCCTCCACTCCACACATACTCACATACACTACACACATGCATACCTACAAACACCACACACACATACACTACACACATGCATGTATACATACAAACACCACACACACATACACTGCACATATGTATACATACTCACAAACACCACCCACACGCATACATACACACAAACACCACACACATACACTACACACATGCATACCTACAAACACCACACACACATACACTACACACATGCATGTATACATACAAACACCACACACACATACACTGCACATATGTATACATACTCACAAACACCACCCACACGCATACATACACACAAACACCACACACATACACTACACACATGCATGTATACATACAAACACCACACACACACACTAGACACATGCATACGTACACACAAACACCACACATGCATATGTACACACAAACACCGCACACCCACAAACACTATACACATGTATACATACACACACACACCACACACATGCATACACACACACAAACACCACACACACATGCATACATATAACACCACACACACATACACCACACATATGCATGCACACAAACACACATACACAAAGTCATGGAGTTGGAGCAATTCCTGAGGCTTCTAAAGAAACTGATAATAAGGAAGTCGTGTGTTTCCCCTTGATGCTTCAGGCAGACATACGACATCACAGGCAGCGGTCTACCTTGTCTCTCCACTGTGGCTCCAGGGTTTTGTATGGTTGGTTGGTTGGTTTTGTTCTTTCCAACCTTTTCTAAAGGACTTACTAACCTCTCCCTAGACCAGCACGACACTGAGGGTCTCTGACTGATGCTTTTGCCTTGACCTCTCCATCTCCAGCCCTGTTCAAAACAGCTTCTCCCACTGACAGAAAGCTTTATATCTGCACCGTCCAGGCAGGAAGCCACTAGCTGTGTGTGAGCAGTGTGTGAGCCACTGTCGAGCTAATGGACTGGGAACTGCATTTAAAATTTTCACTTTACGAAAGTTCCATTTAAGTAGTAAATTTAGTAGCCAGTGGCTCAGCATGCTGGACCACACAGCTCGAGACAGCATCTCTGACTCAATCTGTCTTCTCAAGTAGATCTCATACGTACATGACTCCTGCTCAGACTCTAGATGACTAAGACATCCAGGACAAGTCACACATCCAGGACCCTCTGGAAATGACTTTTATTTGGCGTGTGGCTTTGTTTGTTTATTTTG